CTGCTTTTTTGGCCTAAAGGGCCCCAAAGCAGTAGACCATAGTTCAAGAGGTAGGGTTGGATCCTAGTGTTTGGTTGGTGTCAGAATGGCTGTAGTTCAGTGGCAGAACACCTGTTCTGCCTGCAGAAAGTCTCTGGTTCAGTCCCTGGAATTTCCACGAAGAGCCAGGAAATAACTCATGTTTGAAACCCTTGAGAGCTGCTGCCCATCATTGTACAGTTGTACGTCAGAAGTTGAATGAAATTTGTTCCGGAAGTCCGTTCAACTTCCAAAATGTTTGAAAACCAAAGTGTGGCTTCTGATTGGCTGCAGGAAGCTCCTGCAGCCAATTGGAAGCTGCGTAAGCTGCATTGGATGCTCGGGTTCCAAAGAATGTTTGCAAACCGGAACACTCACTTCCGGGTTTGTGGTGTTTGGGTGCCAAAATGTCTGAGTACCAAGGCGTTCGGGATCCAAGGTACAACTGTAGATAATACTGAACCAGGTGGACTCAGTTGTCTGGTTCAGTGTAAGACACCTTTCTAGGTTCCTAAGCTGAAGGTACAGGGACTGAGGAAAAACAGAACAAAATAAGGACCCTTTTAATTTTGCAAATATTTGCTAAGGGAGAATTGCTTTGCTGTGGAATTTTTAAAAAGTGAATCTAAAGGAAGAAATGTGCTTGCCATGTCCTGTAGTTATTGTGTTAGCTCTACTTAAGATAAAAGAGGACTTGTCAATGTTAAAGAGTGCCTGGCAGATAAATGTTCATAGAGCTCTTTGAAAGCTGAAAAGGGCCTTTGGTGCTCACTACCAGAAACTGATTGCTGCCTGCAACCCCAAAAGCAGTAGGAAGCTGGAAGGATGCTCGCCTAAGGGCACCTGAAATTTCACCAGCAAGGAGGAGGTCCCACTGAATCTCCTGGCTCATTTTCTTAACATTGCCCTCTCCCACTCTACAATTTGTCAACCAACAGGACGTGTATCACGACTTGCTACAGGCTGATCAGCTTTTCCAGCTAGATGAAAACATATCTGCCTGTTTGTTTGTTTTTTAACCTATACTTTGTTTTTGTACTGTCTCTTGTTGTTGTTGTTGTTTAGTCGTTTAGTCGTGTCCAACTCTTTGTGACTCCATGGACCAGAGCACACCAGGCACTCCTGTCTCCCACTGCCTCCCGCAGTTTTGTCAAACTCATATTAGTAGCTTTGAGAACACTGTCCAACCATCTCGTCCTCTGTCGTCCCCTTCTCCTTGTGCCCTCCCTCTTTCCCAACATCAGGGTCTTTTCCAGGGAGTCTTCTCTTTGTAGGGGACCCCTGACCATTAGGTCCAGTCGTGACCAACTCTGGGGTTGCGGTGCTCATCTCACTTTATTGGCCGAGGGAGCCGGCGTACAGCTTCCAGGTCATGTGGCCAGTATAACTAAGCTGCTTCTGGCGAACCAGAGCAGCGCACGGAAACGCCGTTTACCTTCCCACCGGAGCGGTACCTATTTATCTACTTGCACTTTGACGTGCTTTCGAACTGCTGGGTTGGCAGGACTATCTCTTAAACCCCCCCATTAATTAGCTGTTTTAGGAATGCGTCTTAAAGGGTCTTAAAGGAGTGTTGTTTCTGAACTGTTGGCTGCAATCTTTGAGAATTCCTAGCGGTCCTTCCCAGAATTTGTGTGGTGCAGTCCATTTTCTGCTAGGGGGTCCTTCATTTAAGTAGTGTAGGCCATGATCCAGTAAACCAAACCTTTTTCCACAACAGCATCTGAGTAGCCAGCTGTTCACTACTAACATCCTCCTGGCTTTTGATGAAAGAGCAAGGGAAGCATGACTTGTGCTTCACTTTCCAATCCAGAGTCTTGTAGTCTGGAGGATCTCTTTGGGCTGCATCGCTGGATCCCATATGGAACTTGAGTTTGATGAGTTTAGAAACCTCCTAGGAACCTACCTTATATATCAGGTCAAGCCATTGTCCATCTAGCTCAGTATTGTCTAAAACTGACTGGTACTTAGCTTTCCAAGTTTCAGATAGGGATCTCTCCCACCCCTACTGAGAGATTGACTGACTGACTGATTCTACCTTTTTTTCTGCATGGAGCTCAAGGTGGAGTGCATGGTTCTGCCTATTCCTCAATTAATCCTTACAACAACTCTGCAAGGCAGTGACTGGCCCAAGGTCACCCACTGAGCTTCATGGACAAGGGGGAATTTGAGCTCTGGTCTGCCATGTCCTAGTTTGACACTCTAAGCCCGCTACATTGGCTCTCATGCCAGGGATTGGACCTCAGATCTTTTATGTGTAAAACTCATGTTCTCTCACTGAGCCACAGCCCTCCCAGGACTGCTTCTAGCCTTGTTCTATAGACCGCTCATCCCTACCCTGATAAGCTGGAGCATAGGATGCCTCCAGCCCTTCCACCTTCACTTCCAGTAGGGATAGGAGCTTGAAGTTGCTGCAGATGCCCTCAGGCAGGAAGAGAAACATCTCCTGCTCCCTTAACGTTCCAAAGCTTTTGTTGCTCAGTGCTGCCTTAGGCCAGTGTAGTGACTATCATCTCATAGTGTCAGTTCCTATTGTCTTGGCAAGCTGGGGAGGAAGGCAATTCCAGGCACATAAAAGCCAGCCAAGTTCATGAGGCCCTGCCCTATGGAACAAGGCGACCATGTCCCATCCTCCAGATCAGAAAGCCAGTGGTTGGCCTAAGTTTTCCATGAGCCCTGTTCATGCATCAAAGCCCTTACATAATAATAATCATGTGGAAGTAGAGAGAGAAGCTCTTCACATCCCCTCCATCGCTTCCTAAATGCCTGGCCACGTCCTTCTCCTCGATTGGAAGAGAAAGTCTGCCAACAGGAAGCCTGTGAGACTTATATAGGCTCCTTGGGCAATTTCGAACCTTTCACAACTAGGGTTCCAAATGGGGCAGGGAAGCTAGACAAGTACAGCAAGCTCCCAGCAGAGGATCTTTGTTCTCTAGAGCACAAAGGGCGGATGTGCCAAGAGACAGGAGGCAGGATTAGCAGATACCCCAAACTCATTGCATGATGCCTTTGAATAGGGGTATGGCTTGACTGTACAACAACCATTCTGTAGCAGGAGGACTTAATGCAAGGAGCTGTGGTCTTTCCCATCATCTCTGGTCATGGGCCAAGCTGCCTGGGTGAAAACTTCTTCACTGGAAGATGGTGGACTCTCCTTCATTGGAGGTCTGTCTGTCTTCAGCTGTGATTCCAGCATTTCAGGGGTTGGATTATTTGACCCTCAGGATCCCTTACAATTCTACAAATCTATAATTCCATGATGGCAGCTGAAGTCCAACTCTGGATGGCCACACGTTCCCCACCCCACTGCCTTAACTGATAAGTGTTCTGGCTGCATTGAGAGGGAGCAGTTTTCTACCATTTCAAAAGAACACTGAGCATTGATGGTGGAATATAAAAGAGTGTGATGGACTTTCTGCAGAGGAGATTTCCCACAGTTCTTTTGAAAAGACAGCTGTTCTAAGTCTGTTCTTCGGCCAACTGGAAAATTAGCAGTGCCAAGGCAGAGCCTGGCCCAAGTTGGGCTGGCATGACCTGGCACAGATTTTACGAGCAACCGGGATTGGCCAGCAGCCCAACAGAGGCTACAACAAAATGGGGACAGGTCAGATTGTGTGTGGAATTTAATGCATGCTGTGCTGATTATGAGGAAAGGTTCTCATCCCATTTTTGAATGCCTCTGTCCTGACCAAGGCTCCAGTATGGTCTTTTAGATTCACTGATGAATATTTTGGAGATGTTTAATGTAGCAGCGAAGGATCAAACCAGATGTGTGGGGCAACTGCATTTATATTGATGGAAGGGTTGTGATCTTCTCCTTCCATTAAAAGGCGCCCAAAGGGGGTCTCTGCTGATTTACTTCAATACTCTCCTCTTCTTTTACGTAGTATTTCCTAAGCCCACCTCCAGTACTATGAGAGAGCCGGGTGGGGAAGAAAATGGAGCTACACAGAGAGACCAGTCAAGGAAATACATTATGTAGTGTCATTTCAAGCATTTTCTTAAGACCTTACTGGTTAATATAGTCTCTCCACAGACAAATTTGAGTAGTTGGTGGCATGCGCATAGCCAGGATTTTTGCTGGGGGGGGGCAGGACTTTTGTTAGGGGGGGCAGAACCGATGTGATTGGTCAGTGAGGTAAGTATTTCTGTTGTTTTACTTGATCTAGGGAGGCAGCTGCTCCCCGACCCCTTGGCTACGCCCATGGTTGGTGGTGAGAATTGTTATCTTCTTCCCGTACATGTGAAAGGAAAGGAGACCAGGTTTCACCAATGCAGATACTGACTAGAATAAAACAATCTCCTCTTAGATGATTTGTTGAAAGAGGAAAGTCTTCAAAAGACCCTAGAAGGACCCTAGAGGCAGTACCTGTCTGATATATAATGGGAAGGTGTTCCAAAGGGTGAGTGTTTCCCCAGTAAAGGTGCAAAGATGACATTGTGAAGAATGGTCTTTCTGATAAGATGTTATCTGCAGGATGTCGTCTCCTGCAGAGCACAGTGATCAGTTGGGTACTTAAGAGATGAGGCAATCTTTTAAGTATCTTGGTCCCAAGCTAGATAGGACTGTTCTGTGTACACTAGAACCAACATCTGGGAGCAGGTGGCGCTGTGGTCTAAACCACTGAGCCTCTTGGGCTTGCTGATTGGAAGGTCAGCAGTTCAAATCCGCATAACAAGGTGAGCTCCCGTGGCTCTGTTGCAGCTCCTGCCAACCTAGCAGATCGAAGGCACACCAGTGCAAGTAGATAAATAGGTATTTCTGCGGTGGGAAGGTAAACGGCGTTTCCGTGCGCTCTGGTTTCCGTCACTGTGTTCTGTTGTGCCTGAAGCTGTTTAGTCATGCTGGCTACATGACCCAGAAAGCTGTCTGTAGACAAACCCTGGTTCCCTCGGCCTAAAGTGAAATGAGCGCCGCAACGCCATAGTTGCCTTTGACTGGACTTAACCATCCAGGGGTCCTAAACCTTTTTTTTTTTTTTAAGTACCAATATCTCAAACTCCACCTGGTAGCTAATTGGTGTTAGTTTGGATAGCCAATGAGCATTAGTACATACAATACCAAAAACTGGGCAATGCACCAGCATGCATTGGATTCCAGTCAAGATTTGTTTTTGCTCAGTAGTAGCTCAGTGGAATAGGGAGTAAAGTTTACACAATAAAAACCACAGATTCCTGATTGTAATTGAAATGAATCACTCAGTTTATTAATGTACAAAGCTTAATAGTATTGTTAAATGGCGCTATAAATGTAATAGAACTTATATATAGAAAATTGAATTTATAATACGACATAAGATAAAATATTTGAAAATGAAGCAACTTACACATATGCTTAGACTTAAAGCGATTGGATATAATTTGCATATAAACTAAAAAGTAGCATTGGCAAAGCAATCAATCAAAGTAATTAACATAACTCCTAACTCCCTCCCTCCCTCTAGTTGTGAAACAAATCTAAATTCCCTTCAATAAAAAATCATAGTTTTTAGCGCTAGCCACCCTAGCCCTAACAGGATTTCTGATGCATTTTATCAGATGCCTCCAGAATGCTCCTTTCTCCTGCAAGTCCGTCCCCCGCCCCAAATTTGGAGAAATTGGATCTCCTCAAAAGAAACCTGTGGCTCTTGTCCTCTGGCCTGTGGACAAAAAATGAAATAAAAAGCATCTCTCTCTCTTTCTCTCTCTCTCCATCTCCATCTCCATCTCTCCCTGATTGCTTTTTCATGTCTGCAGACCTCATGGTTACCTGCAAACAGCCATATTAAGAATGCATGGTGCTGATGGGCTTAAGTAGGTTGCTTGGAGGCTTCCTTGGCCTCTGAAGGAAAAAATACCATGACACTAGGACCTTTAAACCAAGTCTTTCCTGATTATTGAATTATGTCTTTTAAGGGGCAGAGAATGTGTGTGGGATAGGCCCCCCCCCCCCAGCCCTCCCTGGCTATGGGCCTGCTCTGTCCTAGGATATTTGCTGATGAAGGATAGGCTAGAAATGTTTTGATTTCATAAACAAATACTCAAAAGTCATCCCCACTGAGCTTCAACCCAAGTCATCACGTACGGGATCTCAGTTTCATTGTGCTTCTGGTGGTCACGGGGAGGAACAATGAACTGCAGTGATGTTGGGGAGTCCACATCTACACTGACCAGCAATGGCTCTGGACAGGGAGGTTCCTCATCCTTACCTGGAGATGTCAGGGGTTGAACCCGGGACCTTTTGCACGAAAAGCACACCTTCTGCCCCTGAGCAGATACTATTCGCAGCACAAAGGTTTATGTAATAAAAGCAGAACTTGGCTGATAATCTTTTACTTATTTCCATTCCTGTAGTTTTCATAGCAACCAATCTTTCTCATAGACATTTAACACACATTAAGCCAACGGCACGGGCTGTGAAAATTAATTTCTTAGCACATTAATTAATTGAGCTGCCTACCCAATATTAACATGACTTTGCTGGTTAATATGAGACCTGATCTTGTGTGTTTTCAAGTCAGTGGAAGTATTATTATTTTTAATGATCCAACACATGAACATACTTCTCTTTCTTTTCTCACTGATAGGGTTGCCATATTTCAAGAAGTAAAAATTCGGTCATAAAAGTTGTTGTTTACCTTATTGAGTCACCTGGGACCTTAAGGTGAAGGGTGGGTAATAAATTACAGAATCTGTCAATTTCTATTTTTCATATTTCCAATCTTAAATTCATTTCTCCACTATTTTCACATCACTTTTTTAAAGTCCTCATGAAATTCATCAGCATTTTAATGTGAAATTTCCTAATATACACACGCTTGTACACGCTTTTGCCTAATACTCATTTTTTTTTGCAGATCAACTTCCCCTGATGTAATAAATAATAATAAAATAATAAATTTTTATTTATACCCTGCCCTCCCAGGCCAGAGCCGGGCTCAGGGCAGCTAACACCAGTAAAATTACAATTAAAAAAACCCAACCAATTTAAAATACAGGTTAAAATATAATTTAAAATGCAGCCTCATTTTAATAGAAGCCCATAGATCAAAACCATAAGGGGAGGGAAACATAAGGGTCAGACTGAGTCCAAACCAAAGGCCAGGCGGAAACAGCTCTGTCTTGCAGGCCCTGCGGAAAGATATCAGGTCCCACAGGGTCCTAGTCTCTTGTGACAGAGCGTTCCACCAAGTCGGGGCCAGTACTGAAAAGGCCTTGGCCCTAGTTGAGACCAATCTAACCACCTTGTGACTTGGGACCTCCAAGGTGTTGTCATTTGTGGACCTTAAGGTCCTCCGTGGGGCATATCAGGAGAGGCGGTCCCGTAGGTACGTGGGTCCTAGGCCGTAATGCTGTTTTCACTGTTACATGCATTTTTATGCACACTGCACCCCAGCATGTGCATTTTTGTACTTATTTGGCTGGAGAGAGGCATCTCAAAATTTACAGAATCACAAACTGAGGGGGGAAAGCTGTGTTTCAGTTCCTGCATAGTTTCAGAAAGTGTGAACGCAATACTGGCTCTACTGCGTACCTAGAACAAAGTAATGATGTGCAGACAAGTCCAAGATAAGGAGAATAAGGTTACATGATGGCTGCATTCTACTTCCACAGTCGGAGGCAATATGCCTCTAGATGCCAGTTGCTGGGACTCACATGTGAAGAGAGTGCTGTTGCCCTCATGTCTTTTTGGGTTGGACTAGATGGACCATTGACCTGATCCAACAGGCTCTGTTATTACGTTGTTATAAACTGTGGTTAGTCTTAACAGCGGTTAGTGGGAATAAGCTAACTTCAAATAATAGATTGCAAAGCCGGCTTGTTTTCACTTAACAATAGTTCCGGCAAACCATGGTTTAGGGGTTTGGATGTAATCTAAAAAGGATGCTGAAACTTCTAATCTCCTCATAGCCATGTCAGTGAAGGAAGTGGGCGTGGGGATTGCACAAGCCTAAGGCTTGCTGCAGCTCATCCTTGTAAGGCTAAACCATGGTTAGCACTACATATGTGAAGCGGATCAGTTTTGTTTGTTTTTTAAGTTGGTGTAAACTACAAAAATTGTAACTCATGCACATCTCGGGAGCAGATATGTTGAGTACAAAGCTTTGTTTTCAGGCTGTGTCCATGAACATAACTGAACTGCAGGAATAGCCTTCCATGCCAGAGTCTGGTGTCCACCCCCTTCCCGTTGCCAAATGATGTTGCTTCTGTGTAATACAAAATTCCATCAGTATTTAGCTATCCAGCTTGGTCAAGCAATTCTCAGTCTGCTGGGATCATGCAACACTCAAGACAAATCATGTACAGCCTGTATTACCCAGGTTGCTTAATTAATCTATTGACTGTGCCTCAGCTATCTCTCTGCAATATCTGAAAAACAATAGGCTATAAATGAATACGCAGTTAATTTTTCATTGGTAATTACAAGGAATGAATTTTACCCCCATTATGCTTCATTATTGCTCCATGTTGCAGCTGTGAGTGATAGAGGCATAAATATTGATTGAACAAGGCCAGTTTGCGTTAGGAAATGATGAGCATGGGGCGTTCAGGGACCTGACGTTGTGTTGTGCTTGTAAAAAAAAGAAGAAGAAAAAAAGAAGGGAGGGCAGAAGGGAGCAGGTAGTTCAGATGAGGCCTTAGAAAGTTTAGTAGCAGCTGGAACTTTCTGTCATTTGGCACCCTCCAGATAAGTATGGGGAAGGTGGGTGTTTTCCTACAACGTTTACGTGTGGAGTCTGAAAATCTCTCAGCTCGGCTCAGCTGCTGCTGCTGGATTAAAATCGCATACATCCAAAATTACGACTGTAGGAAAGAAGGCAGCAAACCTGTTTAAAAATTATGATTGTCAATGGTGCGAATTGTGGTGCTTTCCCCGTGCTCCGTCTTATCTTTATCTGTACCGTGAGCGCGGGAAGAAGCTTAATAATGTGTCCGGGCTGCCCGCCGCGGTTTAAATCCTGTCAGGACTCGCGAGCTGGTGTAGTACTTCAGGAGAAGATTTGTAAATGGGGCTTAGGCTAAAAAGGCTACTGAAAAAGCAGTAATGTCAGGCGGACTGTGTTCTGCCAGTCTTGGTGCATGACTTTCAAGGTTGTTTTGTTTTTAATCATGAGGAAAGAAACCTTTTCAATTTAATACACACACACACAGAGAGAGAGAAAAATGTTAAATCTTTTTTTTTTTAAATAATATTTATTAAAGTTTCAAAAGAGGAAAAATCACATTAATAAAAAGATTAACAATAAAAAGGAAAAATACAAAGTAGAAAAAAGAAAAAACAGTTAAAAACAATTCCATCTTTTCATCACTTCTTTTACATTTACTGTACTTGTTTCCCGGACCTCCTCATACCTCCCTCTTTTGTATTCCAATTCAATTTGTTAATCCAACAATTCCTTTCCCTCCTTTTTAATCCTAATCTTTAATCTTGATATATTGTAACATTAAATTTTTACATATTAGAAACCAATTTTTCCATATTCTTTTGTACCTGTACAGCTAGAAACCACTTAACTTCAATCCAACATCATTCTAACATTCATTAATTTTGCAATATTTCTGTAAATAGTCTTTAAATTTCTTCCAATCTTCTTCCACCGACTCTTCTCCCTGGTCACGGATTCTGCCAGTCATTTCCGCCAATTCCATATAGTCCATCAATTTCATCTGCCATTCCTCCAGTGTGGGTAAGTCTTGTGTCTTCCATTGCTCTGCAATAAGTATACAACAGCAGCAAGAATACTTATAGAAAAATGTTAAATCTATTCATATTTTAGCCACCCTGAGCCCGGTCTTGGTTGGGGAGGGCAGGGTATAAATAAAAATTTATTTATTTATTATTATTATTATTATTATTATTATTATTATTATTATTATTATTATATTTAGAGTCAGGGATAGCAGAGGTTAGTATGGATCCAGGAGATCTGTGTTCAAGTGTGCTTGTTGGTCAAGGGGTATGGTTTTTGCTTAGAGTGCAAGAGATTCTGGGTTAGCATGCCAGGAAAACCCTGACCAAGGGTAGGGTAGATTACAAAGCATAAAGAGTGGGCGCAAAGATCAAGATCTATTGGCCCACTGTGGCTGATTTGCAGTAGGTCAGCAAGGAGATTTTACTCCCAGTTGTTTACCAATGCTGGCAACAAAATGACTCCCCCGATCCATCTAAATTTGGCTGCTGAAATGAAGAAAGCTAACCAGGAACAGGCTTCTGTGTGAAAAGACCATGAGCTCAGTTCAATTCTGGTACGGAAAACAAATCTCTGGACTCCTGTGCTCTTCGGCACCTGGTTATTTTCATTCTATCCAATTGCTTTTTACGCCTGACTCTTGTTATTAGATCTTTGTGTTCTAGCGAAACAAAGTAGATCCAATAAACCTGAAGACTGTCCATTCCTGCTGCAGAACACTGCTTTGCACATAGAAATAGTCTCAGGTTCAAACCTTGGCATGGCAAGGATATAGTCCTAGTGCCACCACAAACTGCCTTGCTCACTGTAGGTCTGCCTGGCAACTGCGCTTCTCAGACGGGTAACTGCTGAGGGTTTATAGTGTGGCAGCACCAAATCTCTGGAATCATTTACCAGGCAGAATTTGGCAGGTACCTAACAAATAACATACCTAAATATAATATTTAAAGCACCTGCTGAAGACATTTTTGGTCTAGGAAGACTTTCCCTGAGGTGTAACCCAGTCATTCATGGAAGATAAATTTTATATCTGTTGAAATGGTTTCGTTGTTTTTAAAGTTTGTATGGATGGCTTTTATTGTTTTAGGGTTTTCTGAATTGATTTATTTTTTCAAAGAGCCTATGTTTCTACGTTTTATTCTGTTCTTACCATTATAGACAAGCTATCTGCTGTCTATAAATTTGTCTAACAATAAATAAGTAAGTGAACAATGCATGCTCAGGCGAATGTTGGTGACATTTGTGGGAGCCCCACTTCTGCCTGAGCTCCCCCTTCTGAGCCCTTTGGTGGCGATAGCTGAGGGTGGCATCTTTGTTTTCTCAAGATGCATGTGTGGTAAGTTCTGGTTCTGGTGCATTGTGGGTAAAAAACAAACATGGCTGCTGCCACAAGAGAACACGGTGGCAGCCATAGTGTGTTTTCGGTTGTTGTTTTCTTACCAATAATGCACCAAAACCAGAACTTCCACTGCATATCATTTCTAGAATGCCCCTACAGATACCCAGGAGATAGATAAGGCTGGGTTTGACTGACCGGTGGTCGGCTTTGGCCTCCCATGTTCAAAACTCACTGCGGCCATAAAATCAACTGGTGTCCCTGAGCAACTTGTTTTTGGTGGTATCGCAAATACAGCCGTAACATCCCTCCATGGGCAGACAGCGAAAAGATGGCAAAACTTTTTTTTTTAAAGCACATTTGAAGGAATAATAATTAATAAAGCAAACACCAGAGCAAGTATTCTTTTTAAGAAATAAAAGCAAAAATAAAACAAAACTGAGAAGCCGAGTTTTCAAATGTGCAGGTGACAAAACCTGGCTCTGTGAGGAGGATTTGCACAAAATCCATTGATTGTAGCAAAAGCTGGGCTTTCTCCAAGAACCTAAAGACCCCACTAACAGCACTTATGCCATTTCCTAGTCCATTCTATATGCAATTAGAGGCTGTACTGCTGTTCAACATGGGGGAAAATCCATAAATCCAGCAGGCTGCAACAGGGAGCGCACACAGGCTGATCTTCAAAAGGTTTCTTGCGTGAGCACGTGAGGTCTTTAAATTGAAGCTCTGAGTTTGGCCTGGCGCTGGCACGTGCCTCTCCAAAAGACCCTGGAGGATGCCAATTTCTGCCCCCCTCTTGGCTTTTCTTTGTTAGTTTCACTTTCTTTGCTGACGGAAGAGGAAAAAACCGGAACAAAATGATAAAAATAATAATGCTGAAGCAGAGGACTGCAGCTGTGAAGGTGTTGTGTGTGTTGTTTTTTTTTTTTTAAAAAAAACACCACACATATTCAACCTCCTCATCTCCCCCGGCACCATAAAACCAATTATGGGTTTCTAGCTGCACAGAAGTGGATGGGTGGGTGGGTGGGGGAAAGAAATGCTGTGTGCATAAAATGTAAATTTTGGTGCAATTTTTTGGAGTTCCCAGAAGGAGCAGTGCATTGGGAGTTGGTGGAAGTCTCCCCAAATGCTGTGTTGCTGCAGGCTTCATCCAGACTTTGAAGTGGCGGTGGTGGGGGAAAGGGGGACAGCCAGCTGCTGCTTCGGAAGATTTGCTATCAGCCCGTTTCGCCACGCCGAGGAAAAGGCCGTTTCCTACCCCTCCCATCTCTCCCTAGCAGTGAAGTGCTTGCATTTTGCTAGAAGCGCTTAGCACGTTTGCTTACTAAGCTGCAATTAAATTGATTCCTGCCCTCTTCCTCAACCGTCCCACTTTGGGCTCCAAAGCTGCTACGGCAGTCCGTTGGATTTCGGGAGATCACTGAGCAAAAGAAATGCCAAGCCGGTGGGACAAAAATAGCAGTGCTTGTTTAAAGGCTGTGGGGCACCTAAAAGAATGATTCTAAAGGGCTGCCACAGGGAAGGTGGAAAAAGCTTGTTTTCTCCTGCTCTGGAGGGTAGGACCTGGACAAGTTGCAAGAAAGGAGATAAACACCAGGAAGTACTTTTGGTGGTAAAGAGCTCTTTGACAGTTGTGATGGACTGGAAAGTTGCAGGTTGTCCTTCCTTAGATGTCGTCCTTCCTTTTCAAGCAGAGGTTGGATGGCCATCTGTCATGGATGCTTTAGTTGAGAATCCTGCATTGCAAGGGGTTGCACGAGATGACCCTTTGAGTCATTTCCAGTTCTATGGTTCTGTGACTCATTCTCGTCCTGTCCTGACAGTCTTATGTGGCCTAGGACCCTCTTACCTACGGGACCGCCTCTCCTCTTATTCCCCCGGAGGACCTTAAGGTCCACAAATAACAACCCTTTGGAGGTCCCAAGCCGCAAGGTGGTTAGATTGGTCTCAACTAGGGCCAGGGCCTTCTCAGTACTGGCCCCGACTTCGTGGAACGTTCTGTCACAAGAGACTAGGGCCCTGCGGAACTTGACATCTTTCCGCAGGGCCTGCAAGACAGAGCTGTTCCACCTGGCCTTTGGTTTGGACTCAGTCTGACCCTTATGTTTCCCTCCCCTTATGGTTTTGATTTATGGGCTACTATTAAAATGAGGCTGCATTTTAAATGGTATTTTAAGCTGTATTTTAATAAACTGGTTTTTTGTTTGTTTGTTTGCCCCCCCCCCCCATTATGTTTTATTGTAATTTTATTGGTGTAAAGCGCCCTGAGCCTGGCTCTGGCCTGGGAGGGCAGGGTATTAATAAAAAAAATATTACTATTTATTATTATTATATTATACAAAAGCAGTCATGATATGTGCTCGGTGGTAAAGCACCTGCTTTGCATGCAAAAGGTCCCATGTTCAATCCCCAGAATCTCCAGGTAGGGTTGGGAGAAATTACCTGTCTAAAAAACTGGAGAGTTTCTGCCAGTCAGTGTAGGCAATACACTGGATGGACCAATGGCCTGACGCAATATAAGACCGTTTCCTATCTCAGGAAAGGTATCTAGGCTGGGGAGAACCTTGAGGGCTAGACAGGATGGCATGGAAGGCTGCATTTGTGCCTCGGGCCCAAGTTTTTCGATCCCTAATATAGGAGGGCAGGAAATGCCAGGAGGGCAGCAGGCCCCATACCCAGAGCCCACACAAACCTGCAGCTGGTCCCGATTCTCCTTGTAATTGAGGAACTGTCGCTACTGTTTCATATACAGTGGTACTTCAGGTTACATACACTTCAGGTTACAGACTCCGCTAACCCAGAAATAGTACCTCGGGTTAAGAACTTTGCTTCAGGATGAGAACAGAAATGATGCGGTGGCGGCATGGTGGCAGTAGGAGGCCCCATTAGCTAAAGTGGTGCTTCAGGTTAAGAACAGTTTCAGGTTAAGAACGGACCTCCAGAACGAATTAAGTTCTTAACCCAAGGTACCACTGTACAAGCAACGATTGTTTTGCGCTTGTTCAATGCACACGCAATCCCCTGACATAATGCTGTTTTCACTGTTATATGCATTTTTATGCACACTTTACCCCAGTATGTGCATTTTTGTACACCTCATTTGGCTGGAGAGTGGCATCTCAAGATTCAGAGAATCACAAACTGAGGTGGGAAAGCTGTGCTTCAGTTCCTGCATAGTATCAGAAAGTGTGAACTAAATAATTTCACCACTCCCAGTTTCCTGAGTCCCTGTTTCATTCTCTACATCATATATAGCTTCTGTTTCAGTAGCCTTATATGCTTCTAAACATGGCTTCAGTAGCTTTATATGGATTTAACCCAGTGCAAGACATCTTTGTGCATCCTTAAAGGGATTCATGAAGGTCTGGTGTGTGTGACAAACAAATGAAACAATGAACAAAACTA